CTTAAAAGTTCAGCTCCAGAAAGAATAAATGGCCAAGCAGTTGGTGCCCCTGCTGTGGTGGCACGCGCTGGTGATCCCAGCACATGGGAGACTGAGGCAGAGGATCAAAAGTTAAACCCGCTGAGCAATTTAGTGAGACTGTCTCGAAGTAAGACAAAACTGGGCAGGGGTGAGGCTGCGTGGGAGAGTACTCCCAGTTCACTCCCCTGTGCGAAAAAGCCATCCCATACAGAGAAAAAGTAACTGGTGCCAAACCTTGTGTTTTATAATTCTCTTTATTTTGCATACAGCCACTTTTGTAGCCATTTTGATTGGTATGTGTTGGATGTTCTTTTGTTATCTTAAAAGTCAGCCCCACGTCCATGGACTTCCTTGCACAGCTCTCCTGTCTCCATGGTTTGGCACAGGAGTGATTTTTTTTTTTTTTGGTGCTGAGCATTTTTTTCTGCGGGTCTTCTCCCATAACTCTACCAGTGTTTTACCTGTTTTTTAGATTGTATTTTAGGAATGACCGTGTTGTAAGATTTTATTTTAAATGTTGGTTAGTTTAAGCCTCACTGCAAATGACTTACATGTCTGTGATTTCAGAAAAAAATAAAAGAGATCAGCATAAATTAAAATACAAGCCATTTCACGTGGGCTTAGAAACAAAATTATAAAAATACTAGCGATCGGTGCCAAGCTGTCCCATCCTCTGCCCTGCAAGAATTCGCAGATCAGAAAAGATAAATGGCTTACTAAAGTTACAAAATACAAGTAAAAATTTATCATTCTCACTGTTTTCTTGAAGACAGTATATTCTAGAGGGCCTTAAGTTTAGCATCATGTATTCATAAGGAAAGGAGAAGTCCAGACTACCCTGGTTATCTTCGAGAAGGAGTGCACCACTCACGTTTGCCTCTGCCCACAGGACTCGTGTATGTGCACTTCCTGCACGTGGTCCAGCGGTGAGCATCGCAGCGGAGCTGGACATGATCCAGCCTCTGTCCCCACAGCTCAGCAACTTTTGGGAAAGCTTGGGAACCTTCTTAACTTCAGTTTCTTATTCTGGAACAGAGAAGTGCTAATCCATCCTCAGTTATGAAGGAGTGAGCTTCAGCATTCTCAGATGTAATGGTTGGCCTGTGAGCATTAGTTCCTGTTGTATTTTGTTTTGATATTTGGAGACAGGGTCTCACTTTGTAGTTCAGGTGGGCCTCCTGCCTCAGCCTCCCTAGTGCTGCGATTTCAGGTGTCACCACCATGCCCAGCCTGGATCATGTGCTATTGTGGCCACTGTCACTGCTACTGCTCTAGTAGAACACTGGACCCTGGCATAGTGTTGTTAGTAATGGCTGGTGTAAGCAGTCGTTTTTCATTGATTTTTATAGATAATATAACAGGAAATATAAAACAGCAGTTTATCCAATTCAGTACTTTTTCTGTGTGTGGTGAACATTCAGTACACCATGCAGTATTGCAATCTGGACAGTAGTATGTGGGTACTTCTGAATTCCTTTTGCATTATTGAATTTGGAGGTCTTGTTAGAAACTGCCAATTTATTTGTTTATTTTCTTTTTTGTTTTAAGACAAGGTGTCATTCTTCTGGCTGGCCTTGCCCTCTTTATAAGGCCCAGGCTGGCCTCGAACTTGTGCCACTCTCCTGGCTTAGGCTCTGAGTGCTGGGATTGCAGATGTGCGGCACCTCGCTTGGTGCCACCATTGTATTTGTTCTGTGTGTGTGTGTGTGTGTGTGTGTGTGTGTGTGTGTGTGTGTGTGTGTGTTTTAGGGAAGGGTCTACAGGGTATTCAGCGTCTCACTACTAGATCGGACTTGTAGTGATCAGTCTGTTTACAGCCTCCCAAGAGCTGGGATTACAGGTGTGCGCCACCACGCCCAGTCTCAATTGCTGTTTCAGCATGCCTGGGAGGTGGGGGGCATGCCAGGCCTGGGATTGAACCCCGGCCCCTGTGCCTGCTTGCAGGGCTTCAGTCCGCTGAGCTGTTTGGCCACCCACCGCCATTGTGTTGGCAGCTTCTGCCCTAACACAGGCAGTGTGTCTCTTGAATAGCAGTCCTGTAAGCCTTCCTTGTAGTCTGGAGCCCTTGAAGTAGATTTCAGCTGTGCCACAGATGTGTTTATGCCCTGGGAAGCTTCCATAAGTGTCCTCTCAGGTTAGCTAGCATTTGTATGTACAGTTTCTTTGATGCTGTACCAGAAAGAAAAGGGTTTGTTTGGCTTGTTTTTGTTTTGAGACAGCATCGCACTGTATGATGCCGGATGGCCTTGAACTCAGTGCTTAGCGCAGCCTGGCTTCAGAGTCACTGCAGTGCTCCTGCCTCAGCCTCCTAAATGCCGAAGAAAAGTAGTTTCAAAGTGTAGCTACAGTGTTGCCACCCCACCTAGAAATGGTGCAGTCAGAGTGGACGCTGGTAGTCAGAGTGGACGCTGGGGTGGACGCTCAGGCTGTACGACTTTTTTTTTTCTAAACTCTTGAATTTATTGTTTGGGATAGAAGTACATTGTTTCCCCCACTTTAGGTGCCTATTTTAGTTACACTTGTTCAGTGCTGAGTAACTGCCTCAATAAGATGTATCAGAGTTTTTCTATATTTGTAACTGTGCTGTGAGGATGTTGTGCTTTTCCAGTTGACTGCTGACAGAGGAAGCCTGTCGTCATCATTAGCACTCATTCAGCATGAGCACCTGGCTCTGCTCGGCACTGGGGATGCAGACGGGAGGAAGCGCGGCTCCTGTTCTAGAAGACTGCATAGGTTATTGGGCCGGAAGATAGCTAGGGGCACGGTTACACCTCAAAGTGACGCGTCTCGTGTTCGTATGTAACAGACATGCACTCAAGGTGGTACTGTAAAGCAGAGAAAGAACCAATGCACCTGAAGGCGTGCTGACAGGTTGTCAGACAGGAAATGGCATTCGAACTGAGTTTGGGAGGTTGGGCGGGAACTTGCTGTTTGGCAAGGAGCAGGGACGGGGCATGCAGGACGGGAACAGCCTGAGCAGGGCCCAGAAGCCACGGGCATGCGAGGCGAGGAAGACGTCTTCACAGTGGCTGCAGACAAGACCACATGAGAGAAAATGGAACTGAGATGAGTTCTAGGTTTATCCGTTTGGCAGTGATGAATCATTGAAAATTTTAAAATTAGGTTGACATGATCAGATTTGAATTTGAAAACTTGTAGTAGCTTGGGGCCAGAGAAGACAAATGGCAGACACCGGTCTGTATTTGCTGTAGCTTCCAAGCAGAAGACAAGGATTTTGTGCCGGCAGCAGCTGGTAAGGTAAGGGACGCATCACTAGATTTAAGAGTGCTTCCCGATGTGCGAACAGTGACCTTTTGGTACTAATATCCCATCACGCATGGGTTTGTGGTGCCTGGCGTAGGTGCCTGAGTGGACGACAAAACTATTAACAACAATGAGGGAAATATAAAAAGAAGAGCAGTATTGTTTCAATAAGGGGTTGGGGTAAAGCTTTTCATGGTAAGTTAGATGGAGACTTTTCAGGAATAGTCTAGTAAGCAAGCTTGGATATGAATCTTGGGAGAAGAGTAACTATAGTAATTTTTTTTAGTTCTGAGTGTTTATTTTTCCATAAAAAAAAAAACTGACTGTGGTCCTAGGAAGGTAGCTGTAGAAACAGGATACATTCTCAGGCTTCTCACCAACTGGCCTTTTGAAAAAGAAAAGCAAATTCTTGGTTTCTGTTTCTTTTTTTTTTTTTTTTTTTTTTTTGGCGGAACTTGGGATTGAACTCAGGCAGCATTTATTCCACTGAGCCATCTCCCCGGGCCCCCAAATTCTTGGTTTCTACTATAATTATTTCCCTGTACCATTTACCATAGTATCTTTAAAAAACAAAACTTGTATATTAAAAGTTCATCTATTTTCTGCTGTGCTTGCTAGAGTCTGAGTGATTTGGCAGACAAAGAGTGGTTAAAGGGACAGTTAAGAGTCCAAGACAGCTTTCTTCCTTTCTTATTGCCCCCATGCCTTACCAGGCCGGCCCTTAAGGCAGCCTGAGCCAGCCCCTTGCCAAAAAAAATCCTTCGTTCTTGTTGCAAGAGCAAAATTTAAGACTAAGTCTATTCTGTCGTACTTGTTTCATGTATGTTTGATCTAATCTTAATCACTGCCCTACTTAAGTGTGAGGGAGACGAAAACTGTTAAAGAATGAAGTTATAGGGGCCGGGGAGATAGCTGGGTGGCGTAAGCGCCTACCTGGCACGTGCAAGGTCCTGAGTTGAGTCTCTGGTACTAAAAAAAAACCAATGAGGATATGTTGTCTACTACTTTGTAGAAATGCAAAAAAGCAGTCCAGGTTTCACTGCTGCCTGCCTAAGTCTGGATTTCCGGCTATGGTCCTTTATGAAACTCAGAGGATACTCAGATTTCAGGCATCACCTGACAGACATAGGTAGTTGTGCAGGCCTCGGATAGGATTGTAATGATCTAAATTACTGTACATGGCTGACATTCTTGGTTTTTATATTTTTTAAAATAAATGAGCACACCTTACCCACATGAAGTTCTAGTTTTTGCTGCTTCTGGGTGGCTTCTCCGGGTGATTTTTTGGCTGGTGGCACATTTCCTTTCCTTCCTTGATTGCTCTGGGCTACAGTTGCCTGCTGCTTAAGGCAGGTGCAGTAGAGTGCACTGGGAAGTGGCTATATTGCTATATTTAGAAAGCCATAGGGTTTCGAAAGCAGTTGTACATTCTTTTGGATAAAGTGGTTTCTATAAATGTAACACTTTTAATGAAACTATTATTATCACCCATTAGGGGAACAGCAGCTAACATTATGGGTCTGTGGACGTGACACAGTCCCAGAACTTCGTAACTTACGGGCACACTCTGGTAGAGAAAGCGGTGACCGACTTGCTTAGCATGTGCAGAGCCCTGGAGTCCACCCCTTGTACCATAAAAAGAGAGCACCAAGTTTTTAAATACTTAAAATTAATCATGTGAATCCTATTTTGAGACTCTTGCTCTTCAATTACAGAGCGTTTACTCGGGTGTTTACCTTTGGCCCAACATTCCGAGCTGAGAATTCTCAAAGCCGGAGACACCTGGCAGAGTTTTATATGGTAGAAGCAGAGATTTCTTTTATTGAAAACCTTCAAGATCTCATGCAGGTGAGTACACAGTATTAAAGTTTCATTTATCTGTGACATTAAAGTGCTTCTGCACATATTGCTACCCCAGGCATTGTGCATTACAAGTACTCTTAGGATGAAGGTGGATAATGATTTAACTTAATAACTATGTACTGAGTGCCTTCTGTGTAATAGTTGAGCGTATGAGTCAGATTTAAATTTAATCCAAGCTCTGCGGTGAGCTTTGCTTTACAGTTGCTTAACTTTCATGATCTTGTCTTACTGTACTGCAAAAGGAGAATAGTTGAACTTAGTGGGAGTGAATGAAATAATGTATATTAAAACCCCAGCAAGCTTAGTAATTACTAACCCTTAATTTTATTTAGGTAAATAAAACACCATATAAGTTTCTATAATACTTATATAAACATCAATAAAGCTGTTTTAGAAAGTATCCCCAGGAGATGTTGCAGTTTATTTAGGGAATAACATATAGAGCTAGAGAGATAGCAATCAGATCATTAAATAGCAGCTATTTAAAGACCATATGAAAGACTTTAAGATTTTATTTAAAAACTTTTTTTCCCAAAAGATATAAAAGAAAAAGTTTTAAGTTGGAAGAGACATTGTCAGAGTTACATAGATTTTTGTGATATAAACTCTTTTTTTAAAAAAATATTTTGTGTGGTTTAGCCAGTTGTGTCCTAATATGGTTTAAGTTTTTATTTTATTTTAAGTACATAATGATTAAATTCATCGTGGGGAGCTGGTACATGTACTTCAAACATCTTAATTCCATTTTTTATCCCTTCTCCTCCCCCATGCCCTAATTCCCTGTTATTCCCCTTCCCTTTTGCAAAAGCTCTATTTGCCCTTTTCCTATTATCTCTCTTATTTTGCCTTTTCTATTTATTAATATTCTGGGTTTCTCCTATAAAGAGAAGCTCAATATTCAACCTGTATGTCTGATTTAATTCACTTAATTTTCTGGTCTCAACATGCATCCATTTTTTTACAAATGACTCAGATTTATCCTTTATGTCTGTGTAATATGTATTTCATTGTATATAAATTCCACACTTTTTTTTTCATTTTTGGGGTCTACTTTTTTTGAGTTCTTTTTATATTTTAGTTTTTAGTCCTCTGTTCCAGGAGTAGCTGGCAAAAATTTTTCCTATTCTCTGGGTTGTTTCTGCACACTGTTGGTTTTTTCCTTTGCTGTGCAGAAACTGTGTGTAAATTGATATAATTCCTTCTTTTTTTTTAATGTTATTTCTTATGCAATTGGGGTTCTATTCAAAAGGCCCTTGCCTGTGCCTCTGTTGAGTTTTACCTATTTTATCTTGCAGCAGGTTGTTTTGGTTTTAACATTTATATCACTTGTCCATTTTGATGTTAATTTAGTATATGGAAAGAGATGGATCTACGGATCTAGATTCAACCTTCTGCATGTAGATAGCCGACTTTCCCAGCACCCTTTGTTGAACAGGCGATCCTTCCTCTAGCGTATGTTATGTTTTTGACCCCTGTGCCAAAAATCGAATGGGTGAATAGGCCTGTGGTTGTTTCTCAATCCTCTGCTTTGTTCTGCTGATCTACATGTATGTTTGGTTTTTTTTCCAGTACCATGCTGGGTTTTTTGTTTGTTTTGACTTTTTTTTTAACCACTGTAGTTTTGAAACATAACTTGAAATCTGGGATTATAGTAACTCCTCCTTTGCTCTTATTCCCTAGAATTGCCTTTGCTATTCTGAGTCTCTTCTGGTTCCAGATGAATTTTGGGATTCTTTTCTCTAGTTCTCTGAGGAATGCTGTTTGGATCTTGATTAGATTTGAATGAAATCTGTGTATCTGTTTTGGAATTAATACAATTTGACAATATGGTTCTCTGCCCAAGAATAAGGGTAACTTTCCAGTTTCTGAAGTCTTTGATCTCTTTTTTCAGTGCACTATAGTTTTCATTAGAGAAGTCTTTAACTTCCTACGCTAAGTCCTAAGTATTTGATTTTTCTTGCCACTATTGTGCATTTTATTTTATTTTTTGTCAGTGGGCTTATTTTTGGTGTATAGGAAGGCGGCTGATTTTATGATGTACTGCTACTCAGCTAAATTTGTTAGTTCTTGGAGTCTTTTGGTAAAATTTTTTAGGTGGCATACATAGATGTAAAAAATTATATCATTTATAAATAAGAATAGTTTGACTTCTGCTTTTCTTATGTATTTCTCAAGAGAAATAAATAAAAGATACATGTAGGAAAGGAAGAAGCCAAACTAGTTATACACATATGGCAAGTTTTGAATACTATATTGAATAGTATTAATGATAGTGGCAATCTTTGCCTTGTTCCTGATTTTAGAGAAAAACTTTGTTTTTCCCCATTTAATATGAATTGGCAGTAGATTTGTCATAAATTCCTTCCATCACATTTAGATGAGGTCCTCATATACCTGTTTTCTTTGGGTATCTTTTTTTATCATGAGTGGATGGACTTGGGCTTTGTTAAAGATGTTCCGGGTCTGTTGAGATGACCATGCAGTCTTGTCCTGCTTCTGCATGCGCGAGGCTTCGCACTGAATGGCACGGGTGTGCTGAGCCATCCTGCATCCCTGGCATGCAGCCGGCTGGGCATGGTATGTTAACCTTTCTGCTGATCCGTTGCATTCTGTTTGCCTGTATTTGTGGAGGATTTTTGTATCAGTATCCATTAAAGAGATTAGCCTATCATATTCTTCTTTAATTGAGGCCTTGCTGGTTTTGGAATCAAGGTAATGCTAGCTTCCAGGAATAACCATGGGAGTGCTCTTTCCCCTTTAGTTTCATCAGAGAGTTTAAGAAGTATTGATGTTAGATCTTCCCTAATGTTCTTGTAGAATTCAGCAGTGAATCCCCTGGGTCCTGAACTTTTTGTAATTGGTAGGTTTTTCTTTTTTTTACTAATCAAAATAATAATTTTTTTTATTTTAAAGAGAAAGAAAAAATAGAAATGAGTGCGGGCCAAATAGCTCAGCAGATTAAAGCACCTGCAAGTAGGCGCAGGGGCCAGGGATTTGATCCCCAGGCCTGCCGTGCCGTGCCGTCCCCACACTCGGGGCACGCTGAGATGGCATTTGAGACTGGGTGTATGGTGGTGCATGCCCGTAATCCCAGCTCTTGGGAGGCTGTAAATAGGAGAATCACTATGAGTCCGATTAATAATGAGACCCTGAACATGCTTATAGACCCTTCCCTAAAATACAGGAGAAAAAGAAAAAAGAAAAAGTAGAGATGATACAGAATTTCAAATCAAGATAATAGAAAATTAATAATAGTTATTATATTGCATATTATCTTTAAAATAGTTGCTCAGCTGGTAGCTTTTTCTACTTACTGCTTCATTTTCATTGCCTGTCATTGGATTTTTCAGAGTTTTTGTATCTTGTTTATTCAGTTTCGGTTATTCATGTGTCTAGCAATCTGCCCATTTCTTCCACATTCTATTTATTGGAGTCCAAATTTTTGAAGTATTTATTGACAATCTTTTGGGTTTTGGTGATGTTCATTGTGATTTCACCTTTTTCATTTCTAATTGCATTGATTTGGGGTCCTCCCCCACTTTTTTTTTTTTTTTTTTTTTTTTTTTTTTTTTTTTTTTGAAGCAGAGTCTCGCTATGTAGTTCAGGCAGGCACTGAACTCACTAATCTCCATTTCATTAATTTCTGCTGTGATCCTTCAGTTTCCTTCCTTGTATTGCTTTGAATTTGGATTGTTCTTGTTTTCCAGAACCTGGAGTTGCACCACTAGGGCATGTGGGCTCGTTCTGTTTTTCTGAGGTAGGCATTCACATTGTAAACTTCCCTTTTAGAACTGCATTCACCATGTCCCATAGGTATGTGATACCACCATATGGTTTGATTATATAAGCAGTCTCATTTCTTCTGTGACACATTGATTGTTCAGGAATACATGTCCATGTTTGCATAAGGACTGTGGTTTCTGTTACCATTAATTTCTAGTTTGATTGCGCTGTGATAGGATAATGTACACAGGATAATTTTAGTTCTATATTTATTTAAACATTCTTTACCAGCTAGTATGTGGGCTAGTTTGTGGAAAGTCCCATGTGTTACTAAGAGGAATATATTCTTGTTGGGTGAAATAGTAGATATCTATTAAATCCATTTATTTGAAGGGTTTTTTGTTTTTGTCTAGTTGATCTATTTGTAATAGAGATCCTAAGATCCTCTACTACGTGTGTAGATACTCACCTGATCTGTTATTGCTGGTGCATTTTCTTTTTCTAGGCTACCCTTGAGAATGTTTCAGAGTACTAGGCTAGTGGTTATGAATTCATTAAGGTGCTCTTGGTCATGGAAAGGTTTCATTTCTCCATCAGTTTCGAAAGATAGGGTGTGTTCAGAGTGGAAGGTATTTTCTTTTAGGGCTGAAATACTGCGCTCCAAGCTCTTCTGACCTGTAGGGTTTATACTGAGAAGTCTGCTGTAATTTTGATGAGTTATATCTTTAAGGTGATTTGTTCCTTTGAGGATTCTGAACTTGCCTGGAGTTTTGACTGTGCTGCGTCATGGCGTTCTTTCCTAATCGTAGCTATTTGGGGTTCTGTTTGCCTCCCCTGTTAAGTTTTTGCCTCACTGTGTTAAGCTGTTTTCCTACACTAGGAGAGTTTTCTGCTATTACTTTTGTTAACAGATTTTTATGCCATTTAAACTGGCTTCTAGTTTTTCACTAGTTCTCATTAACCTTAGACTAGTGTTTGTGTCCTTAGCAGTTCTTGCCTCCGTTTTTCATGTTCTCTCGGTGCTTTTGATACAGCTCTCGTCTTTGGTCACCTGCATCGCCTTGTCTTCTGCTTGTGACACTCAGTCCTCACCGTGGTTACTTTTGCTGCCCACATTTTCAGTGTAATTTTTTCTCTCTTAGAATTCTGTGTCCTACCTCTTCATGGACTCTAATTCTTTGCTAACGTGGTCATTGGTGTTTTGTATTGTTTTATTTAATTCAGCCAGTGTTATATTAGTATCTTTTATAAACTCACAGATC